TATACATTCAAAATTAGATTCTTTCAGATCTGGCTTAGAAAGGAATGTTGCACTGGCATATCTCTAGTGTTTGAAAAATTGGACAAAAATGTATACAATAAATGCCAACAATACCAGTCATAAAGACCTTCTTCTGGGAAAGTTCCTGAATTAAATTACTTTCCTGGTGGTATAAAATGTGATTTTGTTACCACTGCCTATCCATACCAGACCAATCTCAGTAAGGCCACAGTGACTATATGTATGTATACATCAATATGTATGCACACATACAAACATTTCCCATATATACAAATAGGTAAGGATCAATAGAAAGAGAAAGGAATAAACAGTTTTCAGAATTCATGTTAGTTTTATAGAATAAAACGATAAATAACACTGGATTATAAATAATCAAAACACTCCTTGACATATAAAGTCAGGATATGACTGAGAAGTAAACATAAAAAATGTGAATATAAAGAAGTTCAAAATAGGAAAAAACTCTCTTCTAATAACATGCAGGATCCAATCTTGCATTCTGTTTTTCTTAAATTTCCCAAGTTCAACTGAAGCCAAACTAATTTAAGGCTTTCACTACAAGAGCAGCAGGCTAGGGGTCCAAGAATGAAATCTTGTGCTGCCATCTGAAATTAGAGTAAGCAGAAGAGACAGCAATGCTAAAACAGTTCGAACCTATCCATGCATTTCCCAGACAAAGAGAACCCACTACTGTGGCTTTAAACTTTAAAATCATACGCTGAAAACCATCGTGGTCATAGCCTTACATGGGGCTTTCATACTAGAACACATATCACCTGCATCTTTGCTAACAATACAACTGAAAAGACTTTTCAAAACAAAACAGGTCAAACAGCATTAGTTAATATAAAGGGGTTTGGGGCTTTTTTGTAGTTACTGTGAGCAGGAGAACAACTGACACTGTTAAACATCTGTCTCATGCACCTGACAGTAAATGAAGAACACTTAATGGAAGAGAGAGATATTTAAAGGATCTCTTCACTACCTATTAAAAGCTAACTCAGCAACCAACAGAAATAACGATTAAGACTTTGAACAAAGACATAGAAAACAATACAACCTTCACAACAGTACCATATAGCCAAATGATAAATATGGAGTCTAATAAGCACAAATACAAGAACTTAAAACAAACATTGGTCTTTGCAAGACATAGAGCACGATAGCCAATACACCTGAGTAGCAAAATTAGGTCAATCAGCTCCACAATGACTGCAATTTGTACTCAGTATTAGCAATCAGACAAGGGCAAACAATCTTTCCAACGCTAGGTACCAGCATGACAACTGCAGCGGCCCATTCTCTGAAATTCTGTGATGACAATGTCTTCCTTCCACGGAAATGCAGCACAAAGTACTCCCAAAAGGAATATACCATACACTACCCCACAAGGACATATTCGGCACTTAGCAGGTTTCAGGAAATGCTCATGTTCTCTTGTCTCCATTCCCACTAAGGCTAATGAAGCCTTTGCGACAGTGATGGGTGGGCAGAATAATTCTGGGAAGACTAGCTGGAAACCCAAATCCTTGAACTGACAGTTAGCTTGTACACACTACTGTTAGCTTGTACACACTACTGCTGTCTCCTCTTTTTTTTCCTCCAAACAGAGGATATTTCAAAGTCATTGGAAAAATGGGGTTAACATTTTGCATAAGCACTTCAGTTATTAACTGGCTCACATTAACAATCAACTAGGCTAACATAACAAACAATTCTTGTTACTCAAACTGGCGTCATTGTAATGAGCTCCAAATTAATCTCATCCGTACACAATCACTAATCTTGTTGTGTGCCAACTGGATTCTTAATCAGAACGGAGTGAATCATAGGTTGTTTTTAAAATACATTTCTAATACTTGTCATCCAAAATGAATACACACTAGAGCAGGGAAGAATTTTCCTATTTACATTCTGAGAAGTTGATTTTATTTATGCCTACTAGACACACAGGTATCAAATGCATTCAACAGGAGAACATTTTTAATGAGAATAAAGAATAAAACTGTTTATTTCTAATAACGCTTTGAGCATGAATAGCATCACCAACCTAAAGAAGCTAGCCCCCAGACTGTAATTAATACTATATGACAAACCAAAATAAATGGACCACTTGCCCCTCTGCTGAGTTGCCTACATCATTCTAGAAGATGAGCATGCACACAATCAGATGCTGCAACCAGCAGAGCAACTACTTCTGGTAAAACACGTAATGAAGCATATATTTTGTGGTGCTGAACTTGAGACTCCAGCAGAGTTTCAAACCCAAGCATCTAATATTTGTGCAAGGCACAAAAGCAAAGATGAGTTTTAATGAGCATTTTCAGCTTGATTCTGCAATTGCATTGTCAATGAAAGAACACAGTTGATTATCTCTGCTTGTAACAACAAGAGTGCTCAACATATCACCCCACTGCTGAAATGCCGGCCCAACCATTTAGGAATTCTCTGGGGAAAAAAAAAAGATACCATGAACTTTTCATCTACAGCATCTACTTTCTAAAATGCAGTATTTCTGGAATCTTGCTTTAGCTGTCTGGCTAACAGCTGCTTAACTGAACACCTGTTACCATGGTCAAATGAAAACCTAACTCAAAAGTCTGCCCATGGCCATGGAAACTGAAGAGTGACTGATCTGCAACACAGCCATTCAAATGTCTTCAGGGAAGTCTACTGCCAGCTTCTATTAGAGCCACACGAGCTTGTGGAATCTGGAGTACCTGGTTCTTGTCTCAAGTTAAGCATAATGCCTGACTCAAGCCATGCAACAGCATGTGATGACTTCTTGGAAAACGAGACACTCAGGCAGACAAGAGCAGCGCATAAAGGTTCAATGTCAGAATTCCCACAGATCCAACAGCACATATTACTTGCTCGGAGACTGTACTCCTCATTTAATAAAATCTACATGCTTTTGTGCATGGTAGATTCTGTTTTGATTGCCAGGAACTGTTGCATCAGAAGTATTTGAAGATTGCTCAAGATTAGGAGCATTAAATTATGGTCAACGTGCTAATCTGTATTTTACTTCTAGTCAGTAGAAAGATATGTTAAAGCATTAAAGAATTCTGCTAATGCCTTAGAATTTGATTAAAATTATCTTCATTAAACAGTTCTCACATTTGTGGGAAAAAAGGGAGCTATTCAAAGATTTAGCACAATAACCAAGTTATTGTTAATGTAACATTCTGAAGAAAAACTCTACAAACCAGAGGGAACATTAAAGAGCAAATGCGAAAGCAAAAGTACGCTATACAGACCAAAGCTGCAAGGTGGAGATAACACATTCCATACCATCAGATGGACTGCAGGAGAATGACCAAGGACCTTATCAAAAGTGATTACATTTACCTAGTGAATGCTATAGAAAGGCATAATGACTAACGTAAAACAAAAACTGTTGGTTTGCAAATTTCTTCTTTGGTTTCTTTTAATTAATTTTAAATAGGCTTGTTAATATCTCATTATGTATCAAGAAGCAAATGGCTCTTCAAGTTGCTTCCCAACAAAGAGGACAGGAAGTTTGTTCCGTGCTTAGGCAGAAAAGCAACACTCCCAAAAGAAGCATCATTAATGAACAATGTAAAAAAGAAAGAAAGAAAAATAAGTATGTTTTTATTCTTGCAGGTTTGCCTGTGGATCACTACTGCTAGGGACTCCTTTTCACATGAGAAATGCAGTACTGTATCACTCTCAGCAAGCTTCTCCATCTGAACAGCATTTCTGCAAGATGCCCAAAATTGTCTTTATTTCATATCTCATTTGCTATTTGTTATTAATTTCAGTTTTCCAGTACATTAAGAAGTCCTCCTTTTCCTTTAACATCAACTGCAGACAGTGGTTGCTAATATGAACATTTCTCAGGAGGTTGTAAGAATGTGAAACAAAAGAGGAAAAGAGGAAAATAGAACTGGTAAATAAGGAGTGTGAAAACAATTTTAGAATTGTCATAGAAAGTAAAACCTTTTCTATAAACAAGTCTAATGAAATTGATGTTCATCAGCACCATACCTACTTCCCAAAGGAGTTTGTGAGGTTAACAGGAAAATGATTAGGGAAAGAAAAGAAATATGACATTCACCTTTTAAAAGTTCTGTTAGGTATGCTCAAAATAAATATTCAAACTAATACTTTAAAGATTTTTATATATAACTTACTACGAAATGAATAAAGGTAGAACCAAAAACTGGCATTTGCCATGTCACACATCAAGGACATGTTCAACTCTGAGGCCACTGCCTCACGCTCCTCCACCATGACATCTGTAACACAGCACAACAGCCTCTGACTTGCTCTGGGGAGCTCTGGAGACATGCTCATAAAGCATAAGAGGGGTTGCATGAGAGAGGACTGCACAAAGAGCCCCTCCCCTAGGCAAGAAGTTCAATTAAAAGACACTTCCCAGGTTTGTGTTTCTACCAGTGACTGCTATATACCCCTACACACAGCCTACAAAATGAAATATCTCATATATATATATATACACATATATGTTATATATATATAATATATATAATTATATATATATAATTTATATACATATATGCAGGGGTTGCCATAACATACCACCTGGTTCTACGCTTCCTCACAAGAAAATGAAAATCGACATCGTTACACAAAATTATGCTACTTCTATTTTTTTAGAAATAAATGCTTTTTAAAGACACAATTTATCAATCATTTTTCCTGAGACAGATCATTTAAGATGGTCAGATCTTAAACAGACATATTTTAACAGATACTCCAAATAGTTATTGTAAAGGTAATATTGTCCTGATTAAAATGCTTTAACACACACCACCCCGCCATTTACAGATTCAACTTTAAATCACATTATTAAACAATGTGTTTATACTCACATAAAAGTGAGATAAAAGGTATTTATTTTGCACTGTTGGAAAATTTCTGTTGCTGAAGCTATTCTAAAAAAGTCAAGACTCCTTGCACGGTGTAAAATTCCCAAACAGTAAAGTACTTACATGCAAGGCAGAAGGATCGGGCAAAAATTCAGCATCCTCTCCAAAGATAAAATCTGGTGGCAGGTCAGGATAGTGAGCATTGAAAATTATATCCCCTGAAAAGCAATAAATGAAAACACTGTTTGCACTTCTACATATGTGCTTATAAATAAAAAATAATCACACATGACATACATTTTTAACACAGAATGTAATAGCGACATTAAAAATATTTCATGTAATATTTCATCCATGTAATTTTTACAAAAATTCACATGCAAGATAAGCATCAGATGTTTTGGGGGATGAAGTCAAATTCCTGAGGCACAGCTTCCTCCTCCTCTGCAAGCAATGAAACATGAAATACATTTTTGCTTTGTATCTCAAATGGCATTGCAAACATTATTGAGGGTTGCCTCAAAACACCAAGTTTGAAAAGAGATCTTGTTTTAATAAAAAGTACCATATTTAGATGGCTGTGTTTTGTTTATTAAGTTAAAGTCAATCCCAAACTACTAAGGCCCACGATTTTCAAAATACCAAAGCTTTTAAAACTTAGTAGCACTTACTCTCTCTTCTCCTTGCCACCCCCAACTCTTTGAAGGAAGAATACACAGTTCAATAGGAACCATTCCAACTATCCAAATTCTGGCCAAGAGAAATGCAGTACTACACATTTAAATGGAGAGACTAAAATTAACTAAAAATATAAAATTTCATCACAGCTTGACACTGAGTTGTCATCTTGCCAGTGTCACAAGATACGCAATTAATCACCAATGTGATAGTTTAAAGAAATTTGGATTGCACTATTTCATTGGTAAACATACTTCAGAGTTCATATAGATCAAGAGGTGGTCATATGCATCTGAGCTTTTAAAAAAGCCTTTCATAGTCCAAGAAAAAAGTGAAAAAAAATAAAAATAAATGTTCCTTGCCTTACTTGTCTAGCTCCCAACCATTCTTTCTTCTTTATGACGATACAAAAGAGTAACCGAGCTTTTGCAGATTTGTGAGGTAGCAGACAGTAGAAAAAAAATAAGACAGTACCTACTGTGTGTTACCACTTGTTTGAAATCCACACAGCAAAGTAAAGCCAGTGTGGTAAGACTTATAAACAATTCTGTCCAGAAAAAATTAAACCACTTTTTATTTCTTAAAAAATTATGAATGCAGATCTGGAAAGAAGCATCAGATGAAGAAATCTTGCAAAGCCACATTGCTGGCTCAGGGATGTCACCCTGTCAAGACATTTAACATGACAGTTTTAATTGCTGATATTCTGTAAACTGATCTTGGCTTCAGTTGGAAGCAAGGATGCTGTAAAGATTAATGGCAGTGGATGAAGGCTCATGACCAAGAAGCCAAAGGTCAGTCTGCAGTAGGTATGCGCCAGAGTATTGCTCCAAATCACAAACTCACCGATCATGCGACTCAGCAGAGCACAGTGTGGGTTTCTCCTGTCCACACTCCTACCTTCCTTTCACAACTGTCAGGAGCACGTGCAAGTATGGGGCGCAGAAAATAGCAGAGGTCTGCCAGCTAAAATTCCCAACACACTCAACATAAAAATCAACCTTCTATTTAATTTAAAAGAAGAACGAAATAGGCACCAATCCTAGAGGAAATGGCATAAAATTGGAACAGGAAATGCATCTTTATTAAGCAAGAGAAAATAATTACTAAATTGCCTAAACTGTAATACAGCAACGAAGAATTCAGAAAAGTTGATGTTTACTAGACTGGGTAGTTCCTATGTCACTATAAAGCAATCCTTTTCTTACTTTTACTGCAATTAAAATGTCATGTATGGCTCTTTACAACAACCTCACCAATTTCTACCAGTGAATTCGAGGTTATGTGTTGAAGGAGATGTACCTTAATACATTCTTAACTGAGCTTTGAAAGGCTTGTTATGAATAACTCAGAAAACAGCACAATGAAAAAGCTTGGCCTGTGACTTAGATAGCCCAATGCTGCTCTGAAGGAAAGAACTGTATCTGTGTTTTTGTCATGTTCCTATGTGATGACAAGTAACTCATTTAACACACACTTTCCATACTGCAGTTACTAGTTGCATGCTTTTCATTCTCTGCATTCCTGCTTTAAAAGAGTTGATGAAATAGAGTGCATATACCAACAGTTCAGCTCACTAGGAGCTGCGCTCCAACTACACACATACTACAAAAGGCTGCTTAGAATAAAAAAAGAAGGATCAAAATAACTGTTTATTTTTTAGCTTATACCTCCATATTTGACTAGCATAAAACTATTACAGAACATTACATCATGAGATGGCTTCAAGACTCTGCTTGAGTAGTGAGATTGGCAATAAACTGTATTCACCTTTGTAAGCTCCACAGTCGGGGTGAACCTCAGGAAAGCTGTGGTAATAGGTGCAACATGGAGGTTCAAGCAGGTACAAACTCTTTCCCTTCACAGTGTTTTCAGTTCTACCACAACATGAAGGGAACAGAGCTCACAGTAAGTCCCAGATCATCATCATATGCAGTGCTCAGTGTAACAGTAAATTAAAATTGGCATTATTAGTTTAACACACGAGGCGGTAAACTTTTACAATTTGAGGATCAGGTCAGCTGCATATCCCACGCAGTGATTCCTGCTGTGGGATGAGAGATATTTGAAGAAGGTACCCTCTCTGTGGTCACACTGAGGTTGGGCACATCATGTTGCAGCTAGCCAAACCTATTACCTATTACCTACTTCACATGCTCATATTTCTTCTTTACCACCCTCTGTCATATCCCTTCTTCCATTAAATATCAGTGGCATATCAGTTCTTATCCACAGTGAGTGAACAACTATGCAGATACTTTGGTTTAAAAAAGTTTTCATGACCTACAGATCCCAAAGAACTATTCAGTACAAGGGACAGAATCCAGAGTAAAAATTAACATTGTGATTTTTGCTTTTCTGTTACTATTACTTATAATTGATAAAATTGCTTCTACTTGTCCAGGGTAAACATGCCTCAAATTCAAACTCCCAAGTCCCTTCAATAAAAGTCATTTTGAGACCAAACGTATCAATATTAAAGCCGGTGTGTATATTAAGACTATTTTTCCCTGCTGTGTAGTCATTTTCCAAAAGGCCATACCGTTACATAGCTACATAGGTTCTCTAGGCTTCAAAACAAATAAAATCAATATTTCAGTGCCTGTTAATCATACAGTCACAAAACACTATTGCTGAGACCATACTCAAAACATTTTACAACCCCATGGAACCTAAAAATCATGCTGTTGTCCTTATTTTCTAACTAAACCAGAAACGTATCATTTACACTCTCCTTCCTACAGTACTATGGGTTTTTATCCAAATGTAAACCCTAATTTATTCTGCTACAATCGAGCCTCACATAGGCTGGGTGACATTTTAATAAAGACAAAGAAGTTCAGAACAAAATTCCACTTCAACGTTAACAGTTACAAAAGAGCAATGATTCTCTATCATCAGTGGCTTTCATTCTGGAAGTCAAATACAGTATCTTACCATTAAAGATCTGACCTTAGAACAAACATTTCATGTATTTAAAAAGGAAAAAAGTATCCCCTCAGTCAAATCTTATTCTGTCTTACTTGTGTCATGAATCCAAACACATTCAGCTAGTTTCTAAAGCAAAAGAAAAAAGAACCTTTTTTTGAACCATATCAGATAACCATCCTCATCATCCCTGGCCTCTCTAACTTTTCTGCTCTGTGATTTGCCCTTCCAAATAGTTTCACTTATGTCTTGCTTAATTTACTGTCTTAAGACAGAAGAAGTAACACCTTTGACTCTAGAAGGCTTAAGCCTAAGGAAGGAGTTTGCCCTGTTCTGAACTATGAGCATGAGCTATTTTCATAAGTTACATGTGCTCAACAAAAGTACACCATAACAAACGAGGCTACAGATTAAGGGAAACATCCTAAGTCTGAGTTTGTTAAATACTACAATCCAGAGAAACCAAAACTGCAGCTAACAGTTTGCTTGGTAGGGTTATGACGCATAAATAAAAAATGCTCCATTACACTCAAATAAAAGGTATTTAAACAAACACAACAGCCAACGCAAGTCTGGTTTCACTTCACATAAATATTAACACTAGGCTCTGCGTGAGCTTACAAAATATAAGGTGCTAAATATTTTGAATCACAAGCTAACAGTTTGTCTTGACCTAGTAGAAATATCCATTTTTGTAACAAGTACTTACATGGTATTACCTGTGGTTTACCCTTTTCAAATATAAATGTGCTGGGGTAAATAAAAATAACATTTTTAATCAGTAAAGCCATTTGTAAAATTATTGTGCTTAGAGTTTGAGAATGGTTACCCTTTTAACCTGGGAAGAAAAAAAATACCAAAAAAAAAAAAATCAATATAATCCTGCATTTTTTCCCCTTCTCACCTAGATGAAACAACGACCCTTTTCCTTGCATCTTCAGCACATGAGCATGTAGTTTTTCATACATTTCAACTCTGTTTGCCCTTATTGCCCTGATGGAAGGCAAACCATGTGGTGTTCCACAGCGCTATTGACAATGACCATTCCAGTATAAGAGCAAGGCAAGCAAAACCTTCACACTCAAACCATACTTATCTCAATTCTGTAGATACACCAGTCAATAATTACTTTGGTGGAATTATATTTCCAATTACATACTACTACGGAATTTAAAATTACTTCTATAAAGTTAAAGTCATCAAATCAAAGATAAATTTAGAAGAAAAAGGATGTATCATACTCTGTTGCTTTTCATTATCCAAAAATATTACTTTCTTTTGCTTTTTTTCTCCTCAGGCAAACAGCATTAAATTTTGAAATACTTTACAGAATTTCAAAAGAAAAGTTAATATGCTCCCAATAGACAAAAAGATAAAAATATTAATACTTAAATCCATAATTTCTTTTGATACACATATGGGCTGTTCTTTTGTCATCTATCAAAATGTATAAGCAAATCTAACAAAGGAATAAGACTTGACTACAAGCAAGACATGCAGGTCTTACTCTGAAACTGAGAAATCTCTGAAATCCTTACAATAGCTTTCTACTGGCCTATTCCACACACAGTTTTTCTCCTCCTGGTAACTTCCTTTTCAGGGTATTTTTCTT